ACTACGGCACCCGATCCCGTCGTCCCGACGACGGCAGAGGTAGCGGAGGAACTTCCGGTTGGCGCAACTCAGATTCCTGTGGATGACGTGTCGCCTTTCGGCGTGGGTGATGTCATCGCCATTGGTGCAATGATGCTCAGGAGGACCGTGGTTGATATCAACATGACGAACTTGGTAGTGGACCCGTTGAATGTCTCCTTCAACGCAGGTGCTGAAGTTCAACTCGCTGCACGCTTCCTTTGCTGTGGATGCCAGTTCTTTGATGCACCTTGGACAGATTTAGGGTGAAAACAGCGGTTGAAGAAGTGATAGATCGTGGTCGGCCACGGAGCCAAGCAAAAGAAAGTTTGGCAGTGTTTCGGTCTTTGTCGTAGAAGCTGTTCCGTTGTGGACTGAGGACGACGTCGTTGTCCGCACAGCCACGGAGGACGCGGTAGACTGCGCTCAGAACAAATGCCCGCCAGGCATTCAGACATACATCACCTTGGGCACCGCGAGCGACCCCCCTCTTTGTTGGTCTTGTTCTCCGTCTCCGGTGCTGACCTCTACACCCAGGCAGGCCAGGTGCTCGTACCAAGTCGGCAATTTTCAGACTGCCGTAACCCTCCCTCCATAGCCAATGTCACAAATGGGCTTCGTGGGAAACCAGAATCCTCGCTGCCTCCATAATTGTGAGGTTGGAGCAGCAGGCAAGGCAGATCAAGGCATTCTATTATCGAGTGCCTTGGACCCTTCGGGCTTTCACTAGGATCCCAGTGCGTTTCGGCAGAAGCAGATATACTGTCGAGGATGTTAGTTAGCAGAAGTTGCTACAGGGGCCATCCTGTTACAGGAAGAACCCCAGGAGGAGAAATCATCTTCTGTGAAAGTTTAGTTTAGCTAAGATGCGCACCTGGCTTGGGCCTAGCTGACCCCTCTCCTAGCACATTGTTGTTGGGGAGCAAGTGAATACTGAATATTTACCGGGAGCAGGCCAGGTCAATTTTGGCGACACATACGTGCCATAGCGGGAAAGCAACGCTGTTGGCATATGCATGGCAAAGCCATGCAGAAGCTCTTTATGGCTCCTTCATTCGCCGTGCGGCCGTGCCCTTTTGGAATCAATGGGTTGCTACATCCTCAGTGTTTCTCCTAGCAAGAACATGGGCACTCGTATCCATGAAGGACTCAACATGCTCAGCTTAGACAGAGGCTTCCGCCCAGCTTAAAATGTCAGCCGGCTTCTCGAATGGCCCTTCAATCATGATTCAACACGAGCATCAAGGCAATTTGCATTCAGCATGTGCTGTCAGCAATGCGCACTGCTAGTCATATCGGCAGCACATGTCGATGTTGCTGAGCTTGGCCGTGCCTTGATGCAGCATCTTCAAGGAAGCTGAAAGCTTACACATGTAGCATTCGGGGTCCAGTCGCCTAAGCCCGCCGGCCTGTGCCTTTCGGCAGCCGATAGCAGCCCCTTTGACGCGGCTTCCTAGGTCCTAGGTCGTACGAGATGCGAGCAACGCAAGGCACAGAGAAATGAAACTGCTCGCACTGCTTGCCCCAAAGAAAAGCGTCGTAAAACGGG